TGTAAACGTGTACGTGTGACGTTCGGCGCCGCTTTCCCGTAAGCCTAAAAGTTTGACGATGGTGTTTGGAATGTCGAGCGTGATTCCACCGACTATCCAAACACCATTGTCAAACTTTTAGGCTTACGGGAAAGCGGCGCCGAACGTCACACGTACACGTTTAAACGTTTAAAACGTGCGCCTCAACCTCTCTAATTAAATACTTTTTATTTGAAAAAAATTATTGTTTCTCCTTTATGAATACAACTAATGTGTAAAATAAATAAAAAAACAATGTGTTTCAATAGATCATACATCTCAAAACAATAGAAATAATGACATAAAATTCAAATTTGATTAAAGCCAACAAAAAAAATCAAATTCCTTGAATTTACATACTAAGACACAACTTATTATAAATGAGTTATAACTGAAAGAAAATATATTTCTGAAAGGAAAAATAAAAAGAACTAGAGGAAGAAGAATCAGATGGTTTTCAAAATGTGACAGGTTAGCCTGGTAGAAAATACAGTAAACACTCACTAATTTTAACTAATTATTATACAGTGTTGTTCAGATTAATAGGGTTATAAATAAAGAAAAAAGAACTGCAGATAAATACATTATATTTTTATATTTTTTTTCATGCTAAATTTGATGCATACATTTTTCTTAAAATGTGATGCATATTAATTTTATAAATTCATTGTGTTTTAAAAAATATTTTGAAGTTTCATTTGTTTTTGGCTGGAACATTTAAAAACATATTGAGAAAAACTGATTCAGAATAAGCATGTGAATTTAGAAATAGCCATCAAAGTGACCATGATGGCTATTTCTCCAGTAACTGATTGTAAAGGTAATTGTTTTTTTGGTATAACGTTTATGTCAATCCTTTAGAGGCCTCAATACACTGCATGGCTGAACTGATTACGGAAAAAACAGAAAAAAAGATGGAATCTGCTGTACAGCATGAGATAACATCAATCTCTTTAATTGTGATGTCTTTGTGGTTATTTTAATCTTTTAATATAAGTTTTATATATATTTTACTTTGTTATCTTTATAAAAACACCAACTGAAGAGGGACTCTGAAACAGTTCGAAATGCATTTTGGGTGTATTGTATATGTTTTAGATTCATCATTTATTCTTTTGTAAACTTAAATTTTTTGTAATGTCATATTCACTGGTGTGATAAGCCCAAAAATTTAAGTAACTGGTTAGGTTATCACAAAAAGTTAACCTAAGAGAATCCAGATCAACATGAGGATCCTCTTTGACTTTAGTGCTCAGAGTAAAAAAGTTAAATATTATATTTTAACTCTTATCAAATACAGGGAGCATGCTTTTACTTCATATAACAAGCTGCTACAAAACTTATGCCACACTGTGTTAAAGCCATCAAGCTTGTGATAAAGAGAAGTTATTAAGTATTTTTCTTTCTTTTTTCAACAAAACTTCACAGATATCTACAGAATCATGTGTGTACAGTGTAAAACTTCAAATGCTCATAACAGCATCACCTATGGGGAAACTAATAGCACTATTTTATGGTTTACCTGATATAGTACAAATTTTGTCAGGAGTTTTTCTTAGGATGCAAATTTCTTGAGATATTCATGCATATTAAGTAAATGGTGCACCATGTATATATGATAAATTATAAATTGTATTGTAATTTATTGTAATTAGTGTATAATTATAAAAAATTTATAATTAAATACCAACATTTATTTATTGTGACATCATCATAATGCCAGGCTGCAATTTTTAATAATTTTTAATTTAATTTAAAATATATACTCTCCACCTCAAATTAGTAGTGGCTTGTCCCTGTACATCATACTTTTCCTTTAACAATAAAGTCGTGCTGGTCATCTATCTAACACCGTTCAGAGGGAAATTTTTGAATTAAAATAATATGACTTTCAGTTTGCATCAGAAGTGTCATATATAGTTAATTGGGGCCTGCTGCCCCAAAGCTTCCATATCTGGTCTCCTCTTTCATTTATTTAACTCCGTTCTCAAGATTAAGGAAAGACAGACAAATGGATGGACTATAGTGGGAATTTATAGGTTACAATTTTTTCAAACAAAAAGTAATAAAACAACATCTACAATTATTCATAACAGTTTTTATTGAAGTATATAGAAAAACTCTTTCTAGAAAACAACACTTAAAAAAGAAAACATTGTGATCATTCTACTAGAATGACAGCTAATGAATGCAATAAATATTTTTAAATGATTTTTCATTTAAAAATATTTATTACATTCATTAATCCTAATAATTTCTAAATATATGTTTTGTGTAATATTGTAATATATAAAATATCTTATCTCTTTTCAATCACATTAAATACAGGGTGGACCAAAAAGAATATATGTATTTCAAACTGATATATTTAATAAACTGTAAGACATACAACTATGGAACTTGGGACACATATTTATGAAACTCTCTAGTTTAGATTACAGGTGTTCAATATGTCCTCCACCAGCGACACGAACGGTCCGGGCGGGAGTTCCGTCCGGGTGTCCGGGAACCGGGGTCCGGGCGGGAGTTCGGTCCGGGCTTCATAACTAACCTGCGTCTCAAAACACGCCAAACTGTTGTTTTAGGCAGCTGCAATTCCCGACTGGCACGACGTGTTGATTTTGAAGGGCTACGTTGGTAAGCAGCTTGAATCCGTGCGACATTTTCTTCAGATACACGAGGTCGGCCAGGACTCTTTCCTTTACATACACAACCTGTGTCAACAAACTGACGGTACCATCTGCGAATGTTCCATCCATTCGGAGGATCAATTTCGTACCTCAACCGGAAACGTCTTTGCACTGTAATCACGGAATTACACTTCGCAAGCTCAAGAATACAAAAGCTTTTGTGCTGTGGCATAGCCATTTTACAACAACTGTGAATACGTCATTGTAACCAAGCACAACTGACATCTGGGGACAAACTAGACAATGCACTCATTCCTCCGATACCCACAGCACACCGCTACTATCGATAGTTTAATAAATATATCAGTTTGAAATACGTATATTCTTTTTGGTCCACCCTGTATTTTATTTTTTTGACAATTTAAAATACATCAAAATAACTTTTAATAATTTATATAACAAAATTTTATTATTATATTATTATTATTTTATTCTTTATTACAAAATATTTAAGAGGTAATGCCATCTAGGCAAACTAAGCCTCCCCTG